CGATAAATCCAACTTGCCGGAATAGGTTAACCAGACAAGGCCCTATTTTCAAAGTGAAAAAAAGGAAATAACTGGGAAATATGGATGACACAGTTATATAACTTGGCTATATCATGTACTTTGTATTGATAAGTAAGTGTGGAAATTATGAAGCCATTAGTATAGATAGAACTTAAGATATTTCCAACTTGCCGTTTTAGGTTAACCATTATTCATTTTCTAAGTGCTGAAAAGGGCAATAACTTGGTAAATTTGGAAGCCATAGTTATGTAACTTGACTATATCATGTAATTTGTATTGATTAGTAAGTGTGTAAACTAAGAAGCCATTGGTAGAGGTAGAACTTAAGAAAAATCCAACTTGCCGTTGTAGGTTAACCTCGTACGGACAGACGGACGGACGGACAGACGGATGGACGGTTCAATTACTATATGCCCGGGGGCATAACAATTATATAAATGGATCTCTTTTCTATCTAAATAGTATTTATGATTTCTTTATTTTCAATTACTTTACGCCAAATGTATTTGTGTGTTTATTGCCACGCGTTTGCAGTCCTCTTGTGTGGTATACTTTAATAAATGAAGATATATTTTATATAAAGTAAGGTTATAAAAATGCTTTTTTGTTCATGTCATCTTTGATATGCAGGCAGAATTGTTTCCTCAATACATGGCACGTATTGAGATTGGTTATTATTTTCTGTCTCAGCATGATGATGCAACTCGATACTTTTTACAGAATCCGTTACAATTGAAAACTTAAACTTACAAGGTTAATATGTTTTATCATATATTATTAAATGTATGCATCAAACATATACCAGTACCGATTTTCTAGAACAAAAAACAGTTTAGAAGATAATGTTCCATGTGACACATTAAAATGAGATAACAATACCGCTGTAAAACACATTCTAACAGAATGTGAAGTTAAAGATTTTGCCCTACGGGGTTTGTAAACTTTAGTGAATTAATAATGGAAATTTCATATTAGATTTTCCTACAATTGTCATGACAGCACTAGTCCAAGTGGTGTTTATTTGTTTTAATAATGAAAAATTTTATAACAATTTTTTGAGGTATCGACATTGCAAATGAAAATAGAATATGCTTAAATCATTTACATCATTTGAATATAGTTTATTCGCTTAAGGTTTGTTTGCTTGACGTTTTAGTTTGTCCTCAGATGAAGTCAATATTAGGAATGATTCATTCACATGATACTTTCTAAATACATATTGTCTCAATTTACATTATAATCTTTCGTACGAGACACATATATTGTTATCGATTTGATGGCAACAAGTGTCAGGGACAGAAGCTTACATGTATATTTAAATTATTCGATCGCCAACTTTAAAATCTTATCATATTTGTTTTACTTTTTGCGAAGAAAATATTAAGCATAAATGAACACATCTGCGGATGTTTCAAAATGTTAAATGTTCAATTCTGCTTAAGCCGGTGCTAAGGGGGGGGGGCTCGGACGGTGAGTTCACTTTACAGTACCGTCCATAAACAATCAAACCGAGCCTGCAACATTTTCAATTTTGCCGTGTTGGGCTTTCTTTAGGGATTCTTGTTTTCTCTATTCCATATTTAGGAAAATATTCATGAATATGAAATCACTATTTCTTTATCTTCGGGGAAAGACTTAAAGTCTTATAAAGATCAATTTTAGTCTGTAATAACACGATTTCAATAATTGATTGACTGATTGATTTTCTTTAGACCGGGCGGTCAAGGATAGCCTACGAAAGTGCAAGCACTTATTTCAAGTAGAGTCCTTACCTCAGCAGACTCTAGAGAGAGCAATGAGATACAAGGGAATCCGGGGACTAGTCCCTAGCTCATATTGAATAGATGCCTTGGTTCTTTATGCCCAGTGTATAGCACTGATACATGCGAAGATTACCTGGGTTTTTTACCAGTAAACCTCTAGGTAGGTGGTAAACACTGAAAGTGTCACTGAAAAGTCCCAAGGGTGTAATTCAGGATCGAATCCGGAACCTCAGGAGTGACAGTCAGTGGTCTAACCAACTGAGCTATCGAGCCGCCTACAGATGCAGAAAATACAAATGACGAACAAAACCTAGCAAGCAGTGTCTGTAGTACACTTTTTATAACAGACTTTTGGCAACCGCCAAAATAATGCACAATAAATTATCGACTGGTTTCAAATACAACTTTTCGAATATACACTTAACAACTTTACAACTTTTCTTACGCTACCAGTAGCCTTTTTGAAATAGTTTTAAAACTATTGAGGATAATTGCTTCAAGTTTCAAGGGTTGTTACAGAAGTGTGTCAGATTGTGTATGGTGTAAAACAAACAACATGAATCTCCAAATTTTAAAGATTTTGTATATTATTTGATCCCACATTACAAAGTCACAAAATTTATCGGATAAATTCAGTTTCTTATAAAATGAAAGTCATGGTCCCCAATCTTGCAAAAGTCCTTGAAATGCTAAAATCAAATTTTCAGTAGATTGAAAAAAGAATGTTAATTGTTATCACCATCCATCTTTGTATAACGTAAATGTAAAAATATATATCACATGACGCATGTCATTCTCATTTCTGACACATGAAAATACTAACAACATGCTATTCAACGTCTAGGACATTCTTAACTTAATTGTGAATATGTACTTGAATTTTAATTTTAAATGCCTTTTCAAGTTCCATAACATAAAGTATTCAGTGTTTTGGTCATGTATTCTTGGCATTATTTAAAACTAAATACTTGGTATGACCACCGTTTGCTTCGATAACCGCCCTGCATCGGCTGCGCATGGACAAGACGTAATTGTGACAAGTGGCTTGAGAAACACGGTTCCACTTCTCCATGACAAACTGTGCCCACATGAGCTATTAAACAGTTTTTTCTTATCTTTTTGTAGGGAATGGGAATATAAAATCACAATAAAAGATAAAAAAAATAACAGCGGTTATAAAAACAAAATTTAATAAAGAATACACTGTTGAAAACGTTAGGTTCTGAATAGTTGGCTAAATTAGCAACCTAAAAAACGGGGTTCCTTTGGATAATTAATAAAATTATTCTTAGCTCGACATTATTTCAGGCAAGACAATTTAGTAGACTAGACTAACCTTGACCTCCATTCATAAATGACCTTGACATTCTTGCTTATTTTGTGCTATTTGTGGCTATAACTTTGTTATTTTTGAATAGTTTGTCTTCAAAGTTGAGGATAGTCCATTAAGTCAATCCAAAAATTGACAGTCATTCATAAATGACATTACCCTCTAATGTTAAATGTCCATTTTTAATTTTTTTTTTTTTTTTTTTTTTTTGTTATTTATTTATTTATTTATGTATTTTTTGCCATTATTGACTGTAACTTTGTTTTTAAAGGGACTCCACTGAGGTTTAAAAATCCTAAAAACATAACATTTGAACTTCTTACATAAATGAGCTTGGACTTTTTATACAGAAATAAATGCAAAGAAAGTTAAGAAAAATACTTTGAAATCAATTGAAAATCATATGTTTATGCTTTCCTTAGCCCGATTTGAGTGAAAAACGTTTAAACGCTTTTCATTTTGGGTCATTTATTACAATTTGGGTAATTATTCTGGAAAACGAAGTGCGCAAATGATCTGAAATTTTGCACAAATATTAGTGGTATAAACCAACATCAAATGGTACATTTATCTGGAAAAATTATTTTCAGTCCCACCATGTCAAAAAAAACTCAGTGGAGTCCTTTTAATGGATTGTTGACACTTGAACATAATATTTTTTTAGGATTTATCCTTTAAGGACATTGACGATCCCTCATAAATGACCATGACTTTGAAGGTCAAATTATTGATATTTTCATTTTTTGCTGTAACTGGCTCTAACTTCATATAATAACAGAACATATTTAGGATAAGATCTTCATGTATATCAAATTCAAATTAACCTTTGCTCTTAAATGACATTGACCTTCAAGGTTAAATTATTAAATTTTCAGTGATTTTTGCTTTTAGTATTCCCCGCCAAAAGGCGGCGATGGATATAGAAATAGTCTCCGTCTCTCCGTCTGTCCTTCTGTCCGTCATTCCGTCCCAAATTTTCGTCCGGAGCATATCTCAAAGAGTGTTTGATGTATCAACTTGAAACTTCATAGGTAGATAGATCATATTAAGGAGGTGTGCAGTGCATAAGAATGATAACTCTATCTTGCATAATTTTTCCGTTATTGCCCTTTGTTATTTTTCAAACTTAATTGTTGTCCAAAGCATAATTCAAAATGCCTTTGAAATATCAACATGGAACTTCATAGGTAGATAGATCTCACTCAGGAGGTGTGCAGTGCAAAGGAAAAGACACTATACCCTGCATTTTTTTAGTTATTGCCCTTTGTTATTTTTCACACTTAATTTTTCACCTGAGTGGAGTATAACGAGATGTCAACATGAAACTTCATAAGTGGATTTATCTTATTAAGGAGGAATGCTGTCTGCAAGAATGATAACTCTTCCATAAATAAATCTTGAGTAATGCCTTTTGTGTTTTTTCATACTTTTGTCCGGAGTTTATCTCAAAAAGTGTTAGAGGTATCATCTTGAAACATCATAGGTGGATAGATATCATTAAGGAGGAGTGCAGCGCACAAGAATGATTACCTTACCGTGCATAATTTTTCAGTGATTGCCCTTTGTTATTTTTTCATACTTATTTGTTGTCCAGACAGTAACTCATTAAGAATTTACTATATAAGGTATTCACTTGAAATTCAAAATATAACTAGGTGGCTGCTATGAGAAGTGGAGAGTTTGACTTCATACTTAGTGTAATTTAAAGTGACTAATAACTGTAACTCTCTTATGGATCTTTATCTTTTTTATTCATATTTTTTCTGGGGAGCCCTTTGTTTGATTTCATATATATCTACTCTTGATAAATATATAAAAATGGTGTACTTTGTAGGAGTTTTTGTTTTGTATTTTGTATTTAATGTTGCAAGATCTAACTGTTTTAGCGTATAAAGGCACATGGAAGAATGAGGCATCTAATGCCATGTCAAGTAAGTATGAATGATGATAAATTGTCTTTGGTCCATGTGTATAGTTTGATTTTGTACAACTAACCCCTAAATCATAAATTTCCTTTCAGAACAAACCTTTAAATTTTGATAAAAGCTTTTACAATTAAAAAGGATTAAATTTTTACAGCGGTCTTATACTTGGATATTAATTGGAGCGCAAAAACGTCAACATTAAACTAGAAAAACGGGCTCACAATAACCTTAACATTTGACCTTGAGATCTGAAAATAAGGGAATTGGTATTCACATAGGTTTCGAATCTGTAATCACTTCGGTCATCAGTATTGTCATAGGTTTAGTAAAAGCAATATTTATTTCCAGAATTTACAAAACATAAATATACATTACAATCAGAAGACACTGTATAATAAGAAACATGGAAGACTCATGATATAAGTTAATGATATAAAATGCTGAAGAATTATTAACTTAATTAAATCCGGAAGAGGATTTGAAACCAAGTTCAAGACTTACGTAAATTCATTTCCTCAGTGGGTTGGAAAGTTAACAGCTGACTGGTCACAATAATATGTAATGTTTTGACATAGGTTTCAAATCTGTAATCACTTCAGCCATCAGTTTTCATTACCAAAATACCTGAATTGAATTATTCTGCTCTACAACATATACATGCTTCCAATGAGCAAACACAATCGGCGGGGATGGTCATTTTAAGATGGCTTTTGTTGACTGTAACTTGGTTATAAATAAATGGTATATCTTCATACTTTGATTAAACAATATTTCGGACAAAATCCTTCTGAAAGGTTGAATTGACCTTGAACTGCAGCTTTAAATGACCTTGACCGTCCATGTCAAATTACTGAATTTTGTGTTAAAGCTTTTGTTATTTACATACATATTTGATTCATCTGTTGACAAAGTGACATTGACCGTCAGATTATTGATTTGTATTATATTTGAAATCTTCATTTATTTATGAAAAAGGATTTATACTTGGACAAAACTAGTATGACTAAACAGACCTATTCAAATTAAAGGAAAGCTTAATTTTTATCTTTAAGATTTGTTTTAACAGTTTATTTGTTTGCTTTTTAAAAAAGTCAAAAAGTCGAGTGTGCCCCCGCCCGGAGTTGGCTCTTGGTAGACTTATTGTATAATTGTAAATTGTATATCGAACAATGACCTTTGTATTAAACTTTATTTCCTGAAAAAAATATTCAGTTCCTTTCGCTAGTTTTAAAGTAATTTCGAAAATGCTACTGGGAGCGTCAGAACAGTTGTTCAGTGTATTTCTACAAATGGTTTATCAGTTTATTTAAGTTATATGATATTTACAAATTATTTAAATTATACAGATAACATATGACAAAAGAAAGAATATTAGTTAAACAGATCCGGTGTTCATGTACGAACAACTTGGCAGAACAACCGAGTTCTCATCATTTAGCTAGATTACTTCCTCACATTAAAGAATTGAAGTCCCAAATGTATTGGCCAAATATTTTACTTGAATACAAAGTCAATTCATATCTAAATAATCTGTTTATTTGTATATCTGATAAGGTCTGATCTCCCTTGGAAATCAGAATGATACAATATTTATGTGAAATCGTTGCTCTCAGTTGCTTAGACTATTCAAAACATGCGCTGATGCAGATTAACCGTATAAATACATTACATGTATTACTGTGCTAAAACATTAATAATTTACACGATACAAATAAGTGGGTGGGGTATGGCCCCCTAAGATTTACAAAGCTATTTTAGGTGACAACGGATCAATTATCACTAAAAATTCCTAAAATGAGATTATTTCCTCAGTAGATTTATCAACCTTTTCTGAACACATTCGTGATTTAATTTTGGAAGCAGTTAGCCCCAAAAATGTGTTTTTAAACGTTTTAAAACGGTGGTTATAACATTTTTATCTGCTATTTGCGTATCCTGTCAATTATCGATAACGCTCCGCCCCCTGTTGAGGAATCAATGAGGGAAATCGGTAGTTCCATATATCCGTGAATTACCGGACCATACTATTCGTAATACATGTTTCGTATAAATACTGTACTGTACATATTTTATAAATATTTCGACTTTAATCGGCTATCTTTTATTTAGCCTTTTAAAAACTTAAGAAATAATCGGCCAAGATGTAACATAAATAATTTAGAATAGCGGCAAGGGTGATTAAAACAATGTAGCTGCCTATTATATCAATAATGTGTGAAAAATCGTAATCTGATAGACATTACATTGAGTTTATGGACAATTGAACGGATCCAATAGCTTTCTGTACATTCAACCTCGTTTTCTTACAGTATAAAACATTTTGTAAAAAGAAACAGACAACATTTTTATGTAAACGACAATAGATATGACTGGTGATGACAAATTTCTAAAATATTTTATGATAATCTGCGGATGATATTTTCTTTATGATTCGATAGAAAATCGGACATTTATAAATATATTTTAGTGAATGTTTTGAATATTATGTTTGCCAGTAAAGCGAACACACAATACTAATAAACCTGAGACAAAGAATGAAATTTATTAAGTGTATATCCCAGAAGAAACTGAATTGAGATCTATGCCGTGCATAGATGAATAATTATGATAATAAAAGTCAAAGACAGATCATATTGATCGAGTGATGTCTTTTATTTCTTTTAAAATATGTCAGGCATTTATATGAATTGGTCGGACAAAAATATATAAAATCTCAGTCTTATTTGTACATCGTATCACGGACTTAATTAAGCCTAGTTTTTCGCTTTTTAAATTAAACCAATTTTAAATTTTACTTAATAAGTTATCTAACGGAAAATTTATAACAGAATACATTTAGGAGCGGGACCCCGACATAATTAAATAATGTAATGATAATAATAAGCTTCGAAAGCAAAACAAATAAATTATCCACGTTAAATGCGTTCCATTCCCCCCCCCCACAGAGTGCCTCAAATTTTACCAATAGTCACGTGACATCTGAGACAGATACCAGACGGACAGTATATCATGTTAAGATTTGAAGAAATTTTTGCTATAAACTGATATTTATCAGCAGATTTTTAATTGGTCAGATGTCACTGGGTCATAAAAAAGTTGTTCGAGTATGTTCCCGCACTTGTGACCCCTTTGGTGCCATATTTGCGTGTAATGCAATAATTTAGCGTGTGAAACGCTGGGGTCTGAGAGAGAGAACAGCCGATTTATGACACTTCGTTTGATGCGGGGTCGGTCTTACTTTGAATAGGCATTACTTTTTAAAAATCAAACAATTTACATGCGGTTTAAAGCACATGAAAGGGAATTCATTTACGAAGGGAACCGTGTCAGGGATTTTTGTTAGCTCAATCAGTGACAAGTTACCCACATTAAATAAAATAGAATATTACCAACTGGATTCGACTACATCTTTCAATGTATATGTTGGCAAATAAGTAAATCATTTTTTCAAAAACAACAGGCGTGAATGTAATTTACAACTGTTTTGGTAAGAATTCTTACAACGAAAATGATTAAATGGCCCTAATGAGATTCGGACAAACCGTTTAATAGTGAGAACAATTGGATCGAAGTTTGTAATATTTACTACTCGGAGGGGAGAATGGATGCGAATCCACGTTGCAATTAAAATCCATTGCTGTATTACGATATGTGTTATGATTATTTGTTATACTACAGTGTGTTATATTTGATAAGCACGCAGAATTTTATCTCTCAATACATGACACTTATATTTAGATTGGATATTATTTGCTGATTGGAATGTCAGTCTACCCTTGACTATGCAACTTCAGTCATTGTAACTGAATCCGTATTAACTAACAAGGGTCATCTTAATTCATATATTTTAATGTATGAATCAACATATACCATGTCCGCTTATCTAGAGAACGGAAACAGTTGCGAAGATAATGTTTCATGTTATCCATTTAAAGAGGTTGTGGATACCGATGAAGAACATATTACATGTTATCCATTTCAAGAGGCTATTGATACCGATGAAGAACATATTCTAAGACAACGTGATTTTGCTGATTTTGCCCTACAGGGTTTGTAAACTTTATTAAATTAAAGATTTACATTTCATACTAGATTTTTCTACAATTGTTATGACGTTATTTGTCCAAGTGGTGTATTTTGTTATTATTTTGAAAATGTGTTTAAAACAATGAAATTATTTTTTGAGGAACCGACATTGCAAAATTAAAAACAACATGCTTACGCCATTTTAAAATAGTGTATTCGCCTAGGGTTTGTTTGCTTGTAGTTAAAGTTTGTCTTCAGATGTGGTCAGTATTGGGAATGATTCATTTTATGATACTTCCTTAATGTATATTATCTCATTCTCATTTTTCATTTTCATCTTTCGTACAAGAAACATATATTTTTTATCGATTTGATAGCAACAGTAGTCAGGGACAAAGCAAATATCTATATTAAATGATATTCGATCACTAACTTAAAAATCTTAATATAATTTGTCTTACCTTTGGTGTCTGCGGTTCTCATCAGGTGCCCGTTCGTGCCTGAAATAATGCACGGAAGGGCACCTGAGGTCTTCCTCCACCAGTAAAGCTGGAACGTCGCGATATGACCTATACTGTGTCGATGTGACGTAAAACCCAAAACAAACAAACGAAACATATGCAGAGAATACAAATGACAAACAAAACCTAGCAGCAAGCAGAGTCTGCAGTACACTTTTTATGACAAACTTTGATTTTGGCAACGGCCAAAATAATAAGACAGTAAATAATTGACTGGTTTCAAATAAAACTTCCCGATAATATGTTTACCAATTGGTTTTTGTGTCGCCTTGAAAAAGGCGACATATAGGGATTACTTTTGTCGGCGGCGTCGTTGTCGGCGTCGTTGTCGGCGTCGTTGCCGGTGTCGGCGTCGGCGTCCCCTTAAGCTTGTCCGGAGCATAAGTCAGTCATTATAAGTCGGATTGACGTCAAACTTGGTATGCATGCTTCTTCGTGACCCGAAGTGCAGTGCACAAAAACCTGTACTCTGCACTTCTTATTTTTTGAGTTATTGCCCTTTGTTAATTTTCATACTTTATTTTTGTCCGGGCCATTTCTCCTAAAGTATAAAATCTATGGACTTGAAACTTTATAGGATGATAGATCTCATTAAGAAGAAGTGCAGTGCGCAAGAACTGGTACTCTGCGCTTCTTATTTTTTGAGTTATTGCCCTTTGTTAATTTTCATACTTAATTTTTGTCCGGGCCATTTCTCCTAAAGTATAAAAGCTATGGACATGAATCTTCATAGGATGATAGATCTCATTAAGAAGAAGTGCAGTGCGCAAGAACTGGTACTCTGGGCTTCTTATTTTTTGAGTTATTGCCCTTTGTTAATTTTCATACTTTATTTTTGTCCAGGCCATTTCTCCTAAAGTATAAAAGCTATGGACATGAAACTTCATAGGATGATAGATCTCATTTAGAAGAAGTGCAGTGCCCAAGAACTGGTACTCTGCACTTCTTATTTTTTGAGTTATTGCCCTTGTTAATTTTCAAACTTTATTTTTGTCCAGGCCATTTCTCATAAATTATAAAGGCTTTAGACTTGAAACTTAATAGGATGATAGATCTTATTGATAAGAAGTGCAGTGCACAGAAACTGCTGCTCTGCATTTCTTATTTTTTGATTTATTGCCCTTTGTTAATTTTCAAATTTCATTTTTGTCCTGGCCATTTCTCCTAAACTATATTGTTCACAAGGCGACACATCCGGCTCGCGGAGTTCTAGTTTTATAAATATGCTTACCAAATTGTTAATAAGATAATTCAAAAAACATACGTGGATGAAATTGACAAAATATTTAAATGATACAGATAACCTATGACAAAAGAAAGAATATAAGTTTTACAAATTCATTGTTCATATACGAACACCTTGGTTGAACAACAGAGTTCTTATAAGCCAGCTCGATAACTTCCTCACATAAAAGAATTGAAGTCCCAGCCGAGATTCGAACCAGCCTAAATTGGTTGGAAATGTATATATAAACCATATTCACTTACCTATTTTCCAGACAATGGGAACAGTGGGAACATGTGCGAAGATCGGTTATCATGTAACACATTTAAAGTAGATCTGAATATGGATGAAGAGCATAATCCATTAAAGGAAGACGTAAATACTTATTACGTGGCAGAATATGTATTTGCCCTTCTGAGTAAGAAATCGTTATTGAATACAAATATTTATTACGTTCTACATTTACTATGATTTTCATATCATCTTACTTTTTCAAGCTGCATATAGTTTACTCGCCTTAAGTTGTTTGCCATTAATTTCAGTTTGTCCTCATATGAAGTTTCATTTTATATGACCCTTGCAAAATGTACATTTTGACAATTTTTTTTAATTTTCGTACGAGGCACTTATCGAATAACAGGCACCACCAGTTGCGTTGCTAGGAATTACAAGTAGCCAAAATATAAAATAACTCGTGGTCAATTCTCGTTTCTTATTCATTTAAACATCAGGTTTCTAATTTTACATTTTTATTCTTCTCTTTATGAAGGAAAAACGTTAAAATAAATTAAAACCTAACCGAGCTTGCATATTATTTAAAACTCAAATCACTATTTCTATATATTCAGGAGAACTCGTTAGCTTTCATCAACGTTTTGGCTGTACTAACACGTCTACAGATGCAGAAGATACCCAACTAGATGAAAATCCAGCAGATAAAGACGGTAGTACACGTTTTGTGAGAGATTTTGATTTTGTCTCCCTTGACAAGTTACCCACATTTAATAATATAGAATATTACCAACAGGATTCGATTACATCTTTCAATATATATGTTGGCAAATTAGTAGATCAATTTTCAAAAACAACAGGTGTGAATGTAATTTACAAACTATTTAAGTAAGAATTATTACAAATAAAAAGAATGATTTAAATTGCGCTAACCAGATTCGGATCAACCGCTCAATATGCCAATCCTCGTTGCCATTAGTATCCATTGCTGTATTACGATATGTTATGATTATTTGTTATACTACAGTGTGTTATATTTGAAAAGCAGACAGAATTTTATCTCTCAATACATGACAATTATATTTAGATTGGTTATTATTTGCTGATTGGAATGTCAGTCTTCTCCTTGACTATGCAACTACAATTATTGTTACTGAATCCGTATTAGTTGAAATCTTTAACTTACAAGGTCATCTTAATTCATATATTTTTAAATGTATTAATCAAACATATACCATTGGTGCTTATCTAGAGAACGGAAACAGTTGCGAAGATCATGTTTCATGTTATCCATTTAAAGAGGCTATTGATACCGATGAAGAACATATTCTAAGACAGCGTGATTTTGCTGATTTTGCCCTACAGGGTTTGTAAACTTTATTAAATTAACGATATACATTTATTTCTAGATTTTTCTACAATTGTTATGATCTTATTTGTCCAAGTGGTGTATTTTGTTATTATGTTGAAAATGTGTTTAAGAACAATAAAATTATTTTTTGAGGAACCAACATTGCAAAATTAAAAACAACATGCTTACGTCATTTTAAAATAGTGTATTCGCCTAGGGTTTGTCTGCTTGCAGTTAAACTTTGTCTTCAGATGTTGTCAGTAATAGGAATGATTCATAATATGATACTTCCTTAATATATATTATCTCATTCACATTTTTCATTTTCATCTCTCGTACAAGACACATATATTTTAATCGATTTGATGGCAACAGTAGTTAGGGACAAAGCAAATATCTATATTAAATGATATTCGATCACTAACTTAAAAATCTTAAATTTTTTCTTACCTTTGGTGTCTGCAGTTCTATTCAGGTGCCCGTTCGTGCCTGAAATAATGCACGGAAGGGCACCTGAGGTCTTCCTCCGCCAGTAAAATTGGAACGTCGCGATATGACCCAAAAACAAACAACCGAATAAACTTACTTTTGGTGAAGAAAATACATTTAAAGACATTAAAAACATAATGAACTTGCACATGAGTAAAATATTCATGAACCTAAAATCACGATTTCTATATTGTCAGGGAAAAACGTAACGTCTTATAAAGATAAACTTTTAGTCTGTAATAACACGTTACCATATGCAAAGAATACAAATGACAAACAAAACCTAGCCGGCAGAACCGGTAGTACACTTTTTATGACAAACTTTGATTTTGGCAACGGCCAAAATAATAACACAGTAAATTTTCGACTGGTTAATTCGATAATATGTTTACCAAATGTTTTTTTATATAAATATGCTTACCAAATTCTTAATAATTTTATTCAGAAAACATACGTGGATGAAATTGACAAAATATTTAAATGATACAGATAGCCTATGACAAAAGAAAGAATATAAGTTTTACAAATTCATTGTTCATATACGAACACCTTGGTTGAACAACAGAGTTCTTATAAGCCAGCTCGATAACTTCCTCACATAAAAGAATTGAAGTCCCAGCCGAGATTCGAACCAGCCTTAATTGGTTGGAAATGTATACATAAACCATATTCCCTTACCTATTTTCCAGACAATGGGAACAGTGGGAACAGGTGCGAAGACCGGTTATCATGTAACACATTTAAAGTAGATCTGGATATGGATGAAGAGCATAATCCATTAAAGGAAGACGGGAATACTTATTGCATGACAAAATATGAATTTGCCCTTCAGAGTAAGAAATCGTTACTGAAATGCAAATATTTATTACATTCTACATTTACTATGATTTTCACATCATCTAACTTGTTCGAGCTGCATATAGTTTACTCGCCTTAGGTTGTTCGCCATTATTTTTAGTTTGTCCTCATATGACGCTTCATTTTATATGACCCTTGCAAAATGTACTTTTTGACAATTTTTTAAATTTTCGTGCGAGGCACTTATACAATTACAGGCACCACCAGTTGCTAGGGATTACAGGAAGCCAAAATATAAAATAACTCGTGGTCTTTTCTCGTTTTTTATTCATTTAAATATCAGGTTTCTAATTTTTCATTTTTTATGCTTCTCTTTATGAAGGAAATACGTTAAAATAAATTTAAAATTAACTGAGCTTGCATATTATTTAAAATCTCAAATCACTATTTCTATATGTTCAGGAGAATACGTTAGCTTTCATCAACGTTTTGGCTGTACTAACACGTCTACAGATGCAGAAGATACCCAACTAGATGAAAATCCAGCAGATAAAGACGGTAGTACACGTTTTGTGAGAGATTTTGATTTTGTCTCCCTTGACAAGTTACCCACATTTAATAATATAGAATATTACCAACAGGATTCGATTACATCTTTTTCAATATATATGTTGGCAAATTAGTAGATCAATTTTCAAAAAAACAACAGGTGTGAATGTAATTTACAAACTATTTAAGTAAGAATTATTACAAATAAAAAGAATGATTTAAATTGCGCTAACCAGATTCGGATCAACCGCTCAATTTGCCAATCCTCGTTGCCATTAGTATCCATTGCTGTATTACGATATGTGTTATGATTAATTTTATACAACAGTGTGTTATATTTGATAAGCAGGCAGAATTTTATCTCTCAATACATGACTGGTTATTATTTGCTGATTGGAATGTCAGTCTCTCCTTGACTATGCAACTTCAGTCATTGTAACTGAATCCGTATTAACTAACAAGGTCATCTTAATTCATATATTTTCAAATGTATGAATCAAACATATACCATTGTCGCTTATCTAGAGAACGGAAACAGTTGCGAAGATAATGTTACATGTTATCCATTTAAAGAAGTTATGGATACCGATGAAGAACATATTTCATTTTATCCATTTAAAGAGGCTATGGATACCGATGAAGAACATATTTCATGTTATCCATTAAAAGAGGCTATGGAAACCGATGAAGAACATATTCTAAGACAACGTGATTTTGCCCTACAGGGTTTGTAACCTTTATTAAATTAAAGATATACATTTCATCGTAGAATTTTCTACAACTTTTATGACCTTAATAATGTAAGTGGTGTATGTTTGTTATTATATTGAAAATGTGTTTAAAACCAATATAATTATTTTTTGAGGAACCGACATTGCAAAATTAAAAACAACATGCTTACGTCATTTTAAAATAGTGTACTCGCCTAGGATTTGTTTGCTGTAGTTAAAGTTTGTCTTCAGATGTGGTCAGTCATTATATGATACTTCCTTAATATATATTATCTCATTTTCATTTTTCATTTTCATATTGCGAACAAGACACATATATTTTTATCGATTTGATGGCAACAGTAGTCATGGGCAAAGCAAATATCTATATAAAATGATATTAAATCACTAACTTAAAAATCTTGTAATTTTTCTTAACTTTGTTGTCGGTGGCTCTATTCAGGTGCCCGTTCGTGCCTGAAATAATGCACGGAAGGGCACCTGAGGTCTTCCTCTACCAGTAAAGCTGGAACGTCGCCATATTACCTATACTGTGATGTGATGTAAAACCCAAAAACAAACAAACAAATAAACTTACTTTTGGTGAAGAAAATACAATTGATTTATAGATCAGACTAATACATTTTTTCCGATTACCTAAGTTTATTTTGTAAAAAATGTGCAATTACTTTAATACATAAAATAACAAAGTAAATATTAAGTTATTGATTTCTTTTTTATACATTTGTATCAGTCTATTTGTATAGGAAATATATGTAACTTTGAAACATATGCAAAGAAAAATATGTTCAAGAAATCACAAGACGAAACTTTATCGTATGAAGATATCAAAGTGTGGATGAAAGTCATGGAATCTGTTGGTGTTCTGAACTTACCCCATGGTAGTGCTACACTTTTCCGCACAGGGAGTCAGTATGGATTTACTGCCGCACATATATTGACTAATGGTAAAGTTTCAATTGTTAAATCATTGCAATTATTACCGCCTCACAAAGATTTTTATTTTCCTTCTTCATTACTCTTTAAACGTACTTATAAACTGATGAATGAAATTGTTTAACCGGTTTAAAACATAATGATAGTTCTAATACCTTTCATGTGGCTGTTCCTAATTCAATGAATTTTGAACACAAAATTCTGCTGCAGTTGGCTTGATCATAATTTACAATAGATATTTCTGTTGATTACATATTGACATGTATTGATTAATATTGAAGGTGTAGAGTCGATGATATTGAAACAATAGGCAATTGGAAATGTAATGATTAAATATGGAAAATATAAGAACAAAGCATTGCTTAAAACATAACCTGTAAATCATCATCATGAATTATTTTCTAGTATTTACTCATATTTTACAGGTACCCATATTGTTGATGAAGACATTAGGGCACTCCTTAATCTCGAATGCTCCTTCGTAGAATTTGAATCTTGCAAGAAATTTAGATTGAAAGAAGCTGTGTTGATAAATGTCCACCTGGATATTGCAATTTTGAAATTTCACAATAATGATATAAATGAATTGCCACAACCTCTTTTACTTAGTCACGAAGGCAATTTGACATCATATACAGATCAAGTAGCTGTAATTGGTGCTGGACATCCACACAAACCTTGCACAGTTCTTGAGCATAATGTAAAAGTCATCAACCCATGCAACATACCTGTTTATGATATAAATGAGTTCATGGAACAACATTATGAATATTTTAAAAACATGTGCATCACTAAAGGTGTTGGTATTGAGTCACTTGATAAAAGCTATATAGGACTGACTAGTCCCAAAAACATTATACTCAGCGCATTTTTGGGACATGGGGCTTCTGGTGCCCCTGTTTTATTAAAGACAAACCCTGTGTCAGTTGTCGGAGTTTACACATCCGGATATCCGCAGATATTTTATGATATACATGACATGCAATTTCCACCACAATACACATTTGAATGTGCAACAAAAATGAGTTTTATTTTTCATGAAGTCAATGAATATAGCAAAGATTTAGCAGTTGACATATTTGGTATTTCTTCTTAACTATTTTAAAAAGTAATTAAGAACAACTTAATTTTGTCTCACATTATTTATTTAAAATACAAGCAACATATTACAGTCCATCAGTGAAAATGTATTGCGTTTTTTTAAGTTAGACTGTCATCAACACTGGTATGAGGATAATAACTTGAAATACCTGTAAAATTATTGTACAAAAACCTTTGTTTTGTTTTCCTTTGTATATTTTTAAAGCAATATTATGCCTCAGAAATAAATATATTTCCCATTGTTTTAGAAAAGTGTTATGTATGCAACATATTACATGTATATAGTTTATATCTGACCAGTTGGTATTTCCAATATTATCATTGTTCTATTTTTAGAACATAAACTACATGTATGTACTAGAAGGTTCTTACCTGTTGTAGAAAACTCATGCATTATATTTAGATAGAAACTTCTGGAATGATCTTTATTGTTGAAGTTGCTAGATTATGATTACTTGAGAACATAATAGACCTTTCTGGAAACTTCTTAGTTAATATATATAAGGAGACATTTTTCATTAATCTTACCTTTTAAGTCATCAGTGATCTTTAAGTCATCAGTTACCTTTTTAGTCATCAGTAATCTTTTAAGTCATCAATATATTTGGAGTATTATTCAACTTGGAAATTAAGTGATTTATTGGAGCTTGGATTATTAATTATTCTTGTGGATTTTATTGTGGGAATTTATTCTAAAGTGTTCTTGGATTTAACTTGGATTTAACTGTGCTATTGAAAAAGGATCATTCCAGGATCAGACTAGACATTTGTAATTTTTATTTGGACTTCAGGTATTTGTAAAGATAATTTGTTATTTTATTTTTCTTTAATAATTTTTCTGTAATAAATTTGTTATTGTTACAAGTTTGTTGCTGGCTTTTCTTTCTCGTTACGCCTGGCTCGTAACAGAAATTGGGGGCTCGTCCGGGATTTGAATATTTCCTATTGGCTACATTATTTGAAATTATTACCGTTTATTTTACATTTTATTATTACCGTATTTACTCATCTGAGTTGATATCATAGTTGTTCTATTAAGTGTACCTTTCATTTTGAAATTTTTGAAACACATCACTTTCTGAGTTTAAAACCAGCAACAAGCAGTCATGTCTTTTAATTTAGAAAAGTTTGTAGCTGAACCTTCCCAGGAGGTATTAGATTTGGCTAAGAAAACTGATTTGCTCGATCTTGCAAAAAAGTATAATTTATTAGAAATTAAATCTTCAATGCGTAAAA